CAACTCCATTGTTGTTGTACCCTATCGTCAGAAATGTCTGTTTGAGCGGCCCCTGGTACAGCACAAGTACTCGGACCTGAAGATTAATTAGTAGCAGTTTTGCTGAATCGAATATGTCAGCCACCGGAAGTTTTTCCACAATTGGGACTGACAGTGTACCAAACCAAACCATCATAGATGATTCAAATGGTGATTTTCCAAATGGTGATAATCATGGTGATAACCATGGTTAAATCATTGTTAAATCATGGTGATAATCATTCATTTAGACATGGAAATCATGGATTCACCTTTTTTTAAATCTCAAATGGTGATTTTCCATGGCTAAATTACCAAAGGTGGGGAGATTTCACCACGTTTTTCCATGGCCATTTTTAGGAACCAGCACCGGCCTGGTGCACCGTCTTCCCCGCCCACTTCAGCCCAGGGCGGCAGCAAAGCCGCAGCCAGCACCACTGGGTGCAGGGCTGCCATGCTTTGGCGAAGAACAGCGGCATGAAGGCCTTCTTGGCCTGGCAAATCGAAGATGTCAAAGATGGGAGGATGGAACTTGAAAAAAAGATGAAGTTGAGAGACTAATAATGAAGAAATCCAGGATTTGGATAGATAATCCATTCCCCCTATTACTAACCAACCCCGAATAATAAAAACTAGGATCCATCTCCAATTTTGGAAAACTTCAGGTTGGCCAATTTGACTTTTAATTGATCCCCTTCAAAAAGAATAATACACATAAAGCTACTATTTGTGGGTTTTACCCCCTAATAATAACAACTAGTCAACCCCGGTGTGTTTTTTTAGGGTCCGTCCGATTTTTATTGTTTTTTATGATAAGGTTTTGAATTTAATATTAGGGGGAAGCTTCGAAATCCAATTTTTGGCAATATTTTAATATTGCGTTATAAAAGGAAATTTAATTGATTTTGAAATCGAAAAAATAGTTTTTTTTCAAGAGCATAAATTCATTATTAGGGTCCGCTTTGGTTCCCTAAAAATAAATACCACCCTAATTAATAATAAAAACTACCTGAGGTGTTTGTTATTTGGGGAGGGGGGTTTAGTATTAGGAGGAGAGGATTATAATGGATTATACACAAACAAAATTGGGAACTGCGTTTGAAACTAGCGTGCTTTTTGAAACAAAGGCAGGGAACTCCTTGACCTGACGAAACATTACCGGTAGAATAGAAAAAATGGAACGGTTCTCCGGAAAACTCATTTTGATGTTGATACTTATTTCTGAGCTGCGAGGGAAGATAGGGTGCTATGTGTGCTCATGCCATGTAGCATCGTGGTCGATACTCAGTTGATGATTTCTGCGGGGCTGAGGAATGAAGACGTCGGCTCAGTGTTGATGACCCCTTTACCTTCACATAATTTGTGAGTCTGACGATATGTTTTTCACTAAATAAGATTATAGGATTGACAGTGCACCTGTGTACCCCAGACTGGCTTCAAGGGCTACTGGGCGCACTTCTGTGAGGTGTCACCAAACATTATAACAGTTTGTGCTCTGGCAATCCATTAAGATCACCCTGATTCCAAAGTCAGAGTCTAAGACATTAACCCATACAAACACAAATTTCCTCCTGTAATCTAAAGATGTGGAGAACCCACTATGTGCAAATCATTTTACATCATTTTCCTAAGGAAACCATGGGTTTTCCATATCTCGCCTCGTCAAGCGCAGCCAACCAGCCTTTCAACAGCTTCTCCTGCCGAGAGCTCGGTGATTCATCACCAGTTGGTAACTATTGGTAACGATGAATCACTGTAAATAAAGAGTTCTAATAGGATAAAGATGGATAAACCATTTACCGACTGGTGCAGGATTTCTTCCATCCGCAGTATCATCTTGATGAAGCAATTATCTTTCCTTTGCGGTGTCACTAGCTATGCTATTATATGATATCAAATCATCGAAGTAAAGCTGGGAAGCGAAAAGAAACACGTTCAGCATCAAATAGTGTAAAAACAGGTCTTTCAAGCGTCTAGTTCAAGATTCCTTCCTTTCAAACAGTCTCAGTATCCCCTAAACGTCGTACAAAAAAAAGCGAAACATGCTGGTTGCATCACTTAAATCACCTTTCCCGAGCCATTTTGCAATCCATCCAGGGATCACTTGCCCCGAAGCTCCCATCCAGTTGCTCTCCTTGCCGGGCATGTGTTTGCACATCTCGGCATACCATGCATCGCGTCCCTGTGGCCCAGTGTCTATCGAGGACCACCATGGAAGTGGGACATTCCCATGTATTGCTTGGGTTTTATATACAATATATATATATATATGATATATATATATACACACACTAATAATTATTCACTATGACTATAATTATAATTAATTATATAGGTAGATCAACTTCCAAACAGATAACCCCAGATAGGACAATCGCATGCACGTCGTAACAGGATTCTCGACATGTCTTGACCAGCTCATAACTGGGATCTGAGCTGACGCGTCGATGCATCAAAACACTTCGAGGATTACCCCATTGGCATGCTCCATGAACTCCATTGAGGGTCAAAGGGCTTGCACTCCCCACAACCACCCAGGAAAAAAACTCATCATTCCATCCGTTGATGGCAAAACAATATCAACCCTACAGGGTTGTCTCCAAAATGTTGAAACGTGTTGAAACCCCATACCATCCCATGGCCTTAAAATTTCGGACAGCATTTTCCCATATTTTCCCCATTGTCAAGGCCTTGGAACCCATCCCCCGAGACAAACCCCTAACCCCTACGACCTGGCGCAGGAGGATAGGCTCTCGATCACCAAACAAGGCCTTGTCGTAGAGACCTCCATCTTCCGAACTTCCTAACTGATGCCAGTCCACCTGGTACGGGCTGGTCGGATTCAGTGAATTTCTGTCTCTTTGCTATTTATTTCCAGCTGGTCAGATTTCAATAAAAATCCGTATATAACCCAGTCATTGGCCGATGATCATGGAGAACATCTATTCCCAGCACCAGCTGCCTTGAACTCAGGATCACCTACCGCTCCCAGCAATCCTTTCGCCATGTCGATGTCTCCAATGTAATGAATGCCTGGGCATTTTTCCGCTGCATTTGGGCTATGAAATGCTGTGAAATTTGTCTGTGACTACAGGCTTGCTGCACCTGGTCTTCCACATGAGTGGTTATGGCATGTTTTGGCCCTTGACATGCAAGTTGCTACCAGAATGTGCACACTTGGGTGCAAACAAAATGGGATCGTTGCTGGAAGTTCTATTACTCCTCCGGCCAACATTCTAGGAAGTCATTAAATGACTTCCTAGAATGTTGACCCCAAAACAGCATATCTATGCCATAGGGGGTTCTATCATACTGTCACCAGTTCCATTATCCCAGTTTGCTGGATGCATCCCCATGATTCGTGGTTCCGGCATGTCACAACTATCAGCCAATGCCCTGCACAGCGACACACGGCGACCATATTCAACTTATTTCAACATAAATCTGCCGAAAAATTGTCCATCTTGAAAAGTCTCAGAACATCAGCTTCCAATGCCATTTGCTGAATACACTGCAATATACTGCAATAAATGAAATCAACATCGATATAAACAGCCACCACTTAGATCCATTTGGCGTGGCCTGGTGTGAACTCCACACCATTCTGACTGAAGGCATGGCAGCATCCCCCAGCGATGTAGTGCCTGGGCTCAACCGGTTTCATCTCACCAGTAATTACTGAAAATTATTGAGATTGAAAGTATTGAAAATGATGAAAATACTCACTATACTCACTACTTCAGAGCCGTTTAGTCTTGGCTCCTAGATCTCGCCACCAAGAAACTGCTCAAGGACCAAGACTTTGTAGCCACACTTCGTGAGCGCAGCTGACAACCAGAGGCCGCCCATGCCACTTCCAATGACGATGAAATCCAAGTCCTCCGCTCATCTGCCAGGGTCGACAACAAAATTGGTCCGGTCATGGCCACGATGATCATGATGTTACCTTCTCAATGATTCATGCAAAACAGCTCTTGGCCATGTTGTTGCGTCTACGTGTTGGTGAGTCCGGACAGTTAAACTCATAAACTCACGAAATTATTTCAGCCCGGTTCGGTGGCCCCTCAATTTTTGCTAATTACTTAATCTTGCTTCCGGACAGGAGGCAGCTCGCCGTTCATGCTGACCGCCTTCTATATCCACTTACTTACCTAATCTTTCGTGCTTAAACCGGTCACTCCGGTTGGGCATTTGACTCGGGCTCATAATCAACGTGACACAACCATACTACACATATGGGTACATCATGAAACTGCAAGTGTTGACTTGAAACTTGAAAGTAAAGAACATACACCTCATCCACATTCATCTACTACAAAATTCAAAATGCGCTATACACACCCAATAGATTTCCACAGTCCCCTAAAATATCCTAAGATCACGTCACCTGGCTTCCATGTGTCCTCTGGGACTCGGCTCATCTTGAAGCCTTGCTGCAAGAGATCGCCCTCAGGAAGCGCACGCCACTTTGGTCGGCGATAGCCCTTGGGCCTTGGAGACTGTGGAGACTGTGGAGACTGTGGAGATGGGATAAGATGGGATAAGATGGGAAAAGGCCATCAAAAGGCCCAAGGTTCCTAGATGATTCTGATATGATCTGGTATGATCTGGTGCTACATCAAAATCATCAAACTAGTGGATCAGTAGATGAGTGATATTCAAACTTAATTTCTAGATGGCTTGTATTTGTTTGGCACGATTTTCTCAACTTTCAGACTTTTTTTCACCGGGACATCAACTCAAATTTGCATATTTGGTGATAGTTTATCTCAAACATCCTAAAAATACACCCAACTTTTCTCCCAAAATTTGCGACTGATCCTAGCGAAGCTCACTGCCGAAGCCCGCCTCCGTGTGAGGTACGCGCGAAGACCCGCTGCCGCCACCAGGCCAAGCCCGGCGCCGGCCAGGCATTTGGCGGCCCAACCATCTGACCTTAGATGGGTTCTTAAGCACCAAAATACATACGTATACACACACATGTATATGTTACATATCTATATGTACATATATATATATATATATTTGGTATAAAATCCGTTTCGGGAGATCATCCCGAAAGGGATCGGGATGGAACCAATTGGTTTGAAACGGACTGTCAGATATAGTTCAGGCCATGTTTTGTTGGTTCCTTTGCTCATCATGCTCTCACACGTGTTTCTTGGGTGCATGTCGCCACTGGATCAGATTGTTGTTTTAGGAACTAATTATTGCACTGTCCTGTGTGCCAAAAATCAATTATATAATCAATTATACCTTGTACAACCATGAGCAGGCTATGCAGCTGACAGGAGAAAGAGTTCCGATGCAGAAAATAAGTGAACATCATTAGAACTTGCATTGTTTGGGCTTGGTACCATTTCAGACCAAATTGTCCTCAACATTGAAAAGCAATTTGGGCTCGGAACTGGCATCTGCCTGCATGGTTCCTGATATACCACTACGTAGGCAACAAGAACATACTCTCACTCCACATCCGCCGACCAATCTGCACCCCAAATCTTCTGATCCAAAATTTCCCAACATCTGCTTTTGTCTGTATCGCACCCCAAAATCCCACTGATAGCAATCAGTTCCCCATGAAAATATCTAAAATTGAGGTTCCATCCTGCATATCCTCCATGTCGACCCATCCTGGATATCTTGGAGGGTTGGTTTCCACCAAGCTGCTTCATCCCCACCAGCTTTCTGGCGGCCCGCAACCGGGTCGTGTCAATACGTCTTGAGCCGCAACGGATTTAAGGGTCTGGAGCATTGCACATGGCCAGAGCCAGAATTCTAGCAAAGCAAATTCTTCTCAACCGGTGCAATGTCAACTTTGCAGCAATTTTCTTCAAGACACAAGTAACAACAAAGCCAACTAAAATTTCAAAGGAGGTAACACTGATTGTCTGGCGCGTCTTGGCCGAAACACATCCTTTAAATCGCGCTGGATGTAAAGGAAAACCCCTGAAACGTACAATGGCCATCATTTTGTTCTTCCAGCCAATCAGGTAAAATCTCCATATTTGTTGGATAGAGTAAACATGATCTAAAATCAGGCACCATTGAATTTCCATCTCTCTCTCTCTCTCGCCATTGCCATCCCAGGAGTTCAGCTGAGTTAAAAGCGAGAAATTGATTCCAAGTTTCCAATCTTTAATTTTTAGGTTTTTTTTACAGTAAACCCTTTGTGTAGAGCATAAGATCCCCAGAGTGCCCACACCAGGACTTCAGATTGCCCGAGCAGTCGTAGGGCGTCAGAATCTGATCGTGCCTGAGCACGGGGAAATGATGGACAGCAACCAGGAAACACACAAAACAACAAGGAAAGGGATGGAAATGGTAGAGGCAGTTGACGTGGACATGTTCAACATCATAATCAGAAATAGGGGTAACAAATCACGTGCGCGTTGGCATTGACATTGGCATCCTCATCACGAGCATCACGACCATCATCATCAGTAGTTGTCCACCTGCATAGTCTGTGCTAAGTCGTCTACCCAGGGGAATGACCGGCAAAATAGCGATGAACGTTGTTGACGTGTGGAGCGAGATGCTGATGGTAGGCATCTGACGCCTCAGCACACGAATGCAATCTTGACCTGGATCAAAGCCGGCTCCCCAAGCAGCCCAGTAGACGTGTCATGGAAACCACCCGGGCAATCCCGAGGACCCTGGCCCATTGGTGTGCTGGGTCAATGTGCCTCAGCCAAACATGGATCTTATGGCAAATTGTGTGTGTCTGCTAGGTAATTGCGTTTGTCCAAAGTTGGGAGTATCCCAATTTATTGCCACTCTTAGAGGGAAATTGATGATGGATGACCTGCAAGCCTTGGATGATATTGCCAATCAGAACATGGATAGATTTACCCTTGCCATCTCTTAAAAAAATACGAGCAACACGTATATCATTGCATGTCCCTTAGAAATCCAATTGGAATTCAACAGGCATGGCGTTCGCCATTAGAAATTCTCACATCCATCTATGATCACAACTGCAAACCTCTGAGAAGACCAGACTGTTGTAGATGCTGCTGGTACACACCGTGCGCCTTAGGTACCGAAGAAGGAATCATGGCAAGGGGCTGCACACTCCTGGCAGCCTAATGGCAAAACAAAACATCCGCATGATATTTATGGGAGGACAGCATTTTTTGGTGTGTCTGGTTCCCATGCAATGTACGAAACCCAGAAATGAACCTACCATTTGGGGTGGTTCATGGCACCCATTTAATATTTATATATGGTAATTTTGGGGATGATTTCTCATTGGGTTGACCACGTTACAAATGAGCCAACCGAGGACCATCATCATGATCCATTTTCGAAAGGAAGGAATGAAATCATCGCCAACTAAAATGTGTTTTTCTAAGGAGAATGTAGTAGAATCAGACGTCCAAATCATCCCCAATGAAGATTGGTTTTCCATTTCATCCATCATCATACCCTTTCCTAGAGAATGGCTTAGCAATCCCCGATTTCAATCCATTCCCAAATATCCAATTGGTTTCAGATCATTCCCAACTATACAATATGTAGTAAACCCCAAAAAGATAGAAATGCGCAATCCTACTAAAATGGTGATATATCACGGTTCTATCTTTTTTGGGTTTGTATGATATGACTTTCCAACCCACAGGAATGGCATCTTTGCTCTTCTGAGGTGCCAAGCCCAGTTGCCTGCAGCTGTCACATGCCTGTCAAGAGATTGCCCCAAACCTCTCATCTGCTAGGGCCCCTGCAAAAACTCGAAAACATTCAAACAAATACACAAATACTACAAAAATATGCGTGTGTGTGTATACATTATATATATGTGTGTGTGTGCGTGTTTAAATATAGTGTATACTCATACATTATTTACACAATTTGTGTGTATGCGCATGTATACATCAACGATTTAAAGAGCTAAATAAGAAAGGGCGAAGACGGGTGAAGAATAGTTTTTGTTGTTGTTTTTTTTGAGGGGTCAGTTTCTTTGATGATTTCTTGCCTGGTACCATTTGCATCCATTTGCCTTGTATTCGCAACAGTTTGGAACTAGAACCTCTACATTGTGGCAACAAAAATACGCTTTCTTTATAGAGTTTCTTTTAGGGTTTCATGTAACGTTTCTTTAGGGTTTCGTTTAGGGTTTCTTTCGGGTTTCTGCAAGGTTTCATTTACGGTTTTACTTGGGAGTTTCTGAGTTTCTTTTAAAGTTTCATTTAAGGATTCTTTGGGGTTTCATTACTGCGAGGCTGAAGGGAAATTTGAACGGTTTCATTTAGGGCTTCATTCAGGGTTTCTTTAGGGATTCATTTAGGGTTTTAGCAAAGAACACAAATGTCCAAAAGAATAGGAATTAGAAGCACGAAAGCAAAGAGGTAAGTATACAAGCAGGAAAGAATAAAGCAAAGGAAGCAGAAAAGCAGAGAGACAGTAAATGAAGGAAGCAAAGAAGCAGAGGAGCAGGAAGAAGTAGAGCAGCAAAAGCGCGTGACTGCAGAAAAACCAGTAGAAGTAGAAAGGCGCAGAAGCAGAAAAGCGGAAAAGCAGAGATGTACGAAAGGCAAACAAAAACGGAAAAGCAGAGGCAGCAGAGGGGCTGAAAAAAGAGAGGCAAGAAAAGCAGAAAAGCAAAAGAGTTGAAAGCAGAAAAGCAGAGAAGCACGAAAAGCAAAAAAACGGAAAAGCAGAGAAGCACGGAAGCAGAAGCAGGAAAAGCAGGAAAAGCAGAAAAAACAGAATCCAAAAATAAAAAATAAATAGCCCTGCAATAAGAAACGCATCATTTCCGCCGGGCCGCTGCTGGGCATGCTGCTGGTAGGCATCAGCCACCTCAAGGAAGGATAGGCCCTACTCCCAGGGGTGTTTTTGAGTGGTTTTTAATGGTCATGTTTTAATGGGTTAAATGCAAGAGAACTGTCCCAATCTTTAAGGTTTTCTTCCAAGGAACTGAGATTCTGAATGGACCCGGTTGGAAGTGGTGCGGAGCCATGAATGTAGTAAACTATCTGGGATTGAGGAATCATTTTTGACCTCTGCCAAGGATATATGGCGCTGTTCTACTGGCAACATTCCTCATCCAACGAACTTCAAACCTAAAGGTATGGAGTCTGAAGAAAACCGGAGGATCCAAGCATTGAATGGGCTGGTTTTGCAAGACAAATCCTTGGCTTCCAACCGACCTAGAACTGTGCTCAGTGCTCCTGATTGGGATAAACAAACCCGGATTATAATAGCTTTCTGGATTGCAAACAATTTCGAGGCGTATATACATATATATATATATATATATAGAGAGAGAGAATGCATCATATGCGCAAATGTATATATGATGTGTTGACCACCCACAAGAAATCAAGAAGTGAAACGTACATTCATGTATAGATATTTTCATGCATAATTTATCGTATAAAAACATGTACAGTACAGTAAATATACATATATGTGTATATTATAAATATGTAGTAAATACAATTAAATAATATTAAATATCATATATTCAAATACATCTGTTCATAGGTACACCATGGTGCCCTCAACTATTGCTGTTTGTATCTGTGGCCCCCCTTCCGACCACAACCAGCTTCATCTGCCAAGGGCACCCATCGCCCTGCGGCATCAAAGTGCCTGCACCATGTTTCCTCCAAACCAGTCTTTTGTGGTCACACCACCAGAATCCATGTAATCCATATTGTTTTTTCCCAAAAAGATAATAATTACCTGATTACCCCGAACTTCTGTCAAGTTGAATTGGGAAACTTGAAAATGATGATATGATGATAAATCGGATAGGCCATTGGAATACCATTTCATTTGGGGGTGCCCTATTTTCAGACAGAATCTAACCATCGACTTCCAAGGCCGCCTTGGGTTAGATGTCAAGAGTTGAGAATGGTGCCGGTTTCTCCCAAAGATCCGAGAGCCAATCATCGCAATGAAATTGGGAAGTAGATATCTCAAAAAATCCACTTCACCCACTTCAACCTCTTCAAATCTGCTAGGTTTATGCAGG